TAAAATTTTAATTAAATTCAATAATTAAATGTTTAATTTCAATTATTTTAAAAACTTAAAAGAAATTCTTCAAAAAAAATTTAATTCAATTTTTCAAAAATTTAAAAAAAATTCTTCGACAAAGAAAAAATTCGTAGACTTTAAAAAATGTAAAATGAGATCTAAAAAAATTTTCAAAAATCCAGAAATTTCTCAGAATTTAATAAAAGTCAATAAAAGTTCATTAAAAAAAAATTAAGTATAAGTGCACTTTATTTAATTCTAAGATTACTCGCCTTTAGTTTACTTATTAAAGCGAGTTTTTTGAGAAAAGTGCTTTCAACCAAAAAACCAGAATTCTCCGAGTAAAAGTGTGGAAGAAAATAAAAAATGCTTCAGTGGAAATTTTCTTTGCAACGAAAATTACAGTAATTTTATTATTAATGCAATCTTATATATTATTATTAATTATTAATTATTAATATTTATTACTAATAATAAAATATCAATAAAAAAATGATTTATTAGTAAATTTCACTAAAAAATAATAATTATTATTTATTAGTAAAATTTACTATAATCCGAAAGAAAAATTTAAGGCACTAATTTAAATTAGAAAATATTTTTACTAATTAAAATTTAGAGAGTGCAATATTTATATATTATAATATAAAATATATTAATACTACACGAAAAATTGTAAAACATTTTTTTTCGTTATAATGAGTATAAATTTTTTGCACTTACCTTGTATCGAGTGCGAGAGTCATCTTTCACGACAAAAGCAAAGTTACCAGTCAGATTTATAGGATCAAGATGCTAAATAAGATTTACGCTCAGAAGAAAAACTCGAAAGAATGGCTTGTCTAGTTATCATAAAAAAATGCTGGAAAAATATTAATATAAAAGATTTTTGTGAACACGATATTTTCTTCCTAGTCATTTTAGAATTTAATAATGTGACAATTTTCTTAAATAATTGAATAAAGGCAAATGTATTGCCCACAGTTTTTTTTAATAGTTTTTTTAATTTAAAATTTTTATTTTCATTTAAATTTCAATATAAATTTCAATATTTCACTTTTTAAATTTAAATGCAAATATATTTATATGTTAGTTATTTTAATAAAAATTTTAATTTTATAATATTAGTAATATTTAAATTTGAGTGATTTTAATAAAATTTTCATTCATTTGAAAAGGGAACGATTATGTAATTTCATTTTGATTTTCACTTTCACTCTCATTTTCATTATTTATTACAATGAGAGTTTTTTTTTGACTATTTCTTTATACTTTGAAGGTTTATTTTAAATTCATTTTCTTTTTGAAGGTAAAAATAAAAGTTAATTGAATGTAAAAATAAAAATTTGTCACGATTAAAGTAATTGTAAATAAGTATATTAAAAGTAAAAGTGAAAACGAAAGTGAAATTAAAATTTTGTCGAGTGAAAATGAAAGTGATAATAAAATTCTGTTGAAAGTAAAAATGAAAATGAAAGTCAAAAGTCAAAAGAAAAAGTGAAATTGAAAATCTTTCAAAATAAAAGTAGAAGTGAAAATAATCGTAAAAAAATATATGTCAAAGTAAAAATAATTCTTTTATGTTAATTTTAAATTAAAATTTAGATTTTTCAATCTTAAATTACACTTCCTGTACCTAATTTTTTAAATTACGAAGTATTTAAAAAAAGAACAAAAATTATTAACTATTGAAAGGAGAATCGAAAATAAAAAAAACAGTTATAGAATGCTATAGGTATATATATTTTATCTATCTATATACAAATTTTGTGCCTTTGAATTGCAATACTTGTTGCTTTCATAATTAATAATCAATAACAGTCAGCAATTCAAAGAATATCTTTTCTTTAAAATCTTGGCAGGAATCACACATAATTATTTTGATACTCAGTTCGAGTCAACGTGTTTTCTCTTCTGGGCTACGTGGAATTTTTATTCCAAAAAACGCCCCCTATTCTTTTTTTTTCTATCATTTCGTTTTTTTCCCTTTCGATTACGTACGCACAATTTTTTTTGTTTGTTTTAATAACCATAATGTCGATTTGCTAATCTATCGATATCTAAAAATCACACTATTGATTTTAATTTCAATGTGAAAGATCTTCTCTCCATTTTTTTTTTTTTTGTTAAAATTTTCTCTGTATATAATAATTATTATAAACACATTGATTATGTTCTAAAAATTACATCGTCGGGAAATTTTTTCGATCGTTTAAAAAAGAGACGGGGTTAGGGGTGTGGGGGTGGGGGAGAAAAATCGGTTGTAAAAATGAGAAAGGTCGTTAAAAAATCAGTCTTTGAGTTGAGATAAACGAAGGAGTTATCTCATCGTTGTTTTTTGATTTTTGGTAAAAAGTTGTTTTCAAATTATTTTCAAGTTATTTTTTTAATATTATTTAAAAGCTTTATTTTCAATAATTTTCAATTTATATTTTTAAGTTATTTTCAAGTTATTAAAAATTTTTTTTAAAGTTTTTTTTTCAAAAGATCAGGGTTGCCACAAAAATTTGATTTCATTTTTCCCTGATATCCAGAAAGAAGTTTAAAATTTTTTTCTAAAAAATATTTTACCTCACTCTGAAAATAATTATATACGCAAAAAATATTTGTAATACATTTATTTTTGAATTTTTTTAATTATTTAGAATTATTCGCAACATCAATAGATTATTTTAAAATAAATATTAAATAACTATTATCATTATTTTCTACAGGAATTAAGATTTTTAAATATTTCAAATTTTAATTCCTTTGAAATTGAATAATTTATACCTAAGAATTACTACTGTAATTTATCCAAAATTATTTTCAAGATTGCAATTCAATTATTTATTAAAAATTTTAACTAAAATTCTTCTCTAATTCAATTATTAGCTACTTTTAATATTTTTCGAGAAAGTTAATTAAAAATCCAATTATTTAAAGAAAAGTTCACTAAAATATTTCTAAAATCCATTTGTTTAAAAGACAATTTTATGAAATTTGAATAATTTAAAAATTTTGCAATTAAATATATATTTACAAAAAATTTGAAAATAATGGAATTCCTGTGAAGAATTTTTTTATTTCTATGAAAATAATTGAATTCTTGCATTTTTTTCAACGAATTTAATTAAAACTGTAGGTATTGGAAATAATTCAATTCTTATATAAAATTTTATTAAAATTGTATAGAAAATAATTGAATCTATGGCGAAAAATTTTATTAAATTTTTTTTAAAAGTAATTGAAAGAGAATTTTATGGAAATTTTATGAAAATAATAAAATTCTTTAGAGGAATTTATTTAAAAATTGTGTGGAAAATAATTGAATTCTTATAATTGAATTTTTTCGAGAAATTTTATTAACATTTTATTGAAAATAATTGAATTCCTGTAAAGAATTTTATTATTTCCATGAAAATAATTGAATTCTTACAATTTTTTTTAAACAAATTTAATTAAAATTGTATTGAAATAATAATTCAATTCTTATATAGAATTTTATTCAAATTTTATTGAAAATAATTTAATTCCTGTAAAGAATTTTATTATATGTTTGAAAATAATTGAATTCTTGCAAATTTTTTCGACGAATTTAATTAAAATTTAATTGAAAATAATTCTATTTTTATATGGAATTTTATTAAAATATTTTTATACTAATAATTTAATTGTTTTGAAGAAATTTATGAAAATTCTTTTGAAAATAATTGAATCTCGTGTGAAGAATTTTATTAATTTTTTTTTTTTAAATAATTGAATTGTTTTGAAGAATTTTTTGAAAGTTGAATTTTTTAAAATTTCATAGGTATCTAAAATTATTCAAAAATTGAAGTTGCTATTAAAAATAAAAAATCTTTTACATAATAATAATAATGAATTAAATAGCTATAGTTTTGCTAGTTATTTATATTATTTACAAAAATTGATATCGCAACTGCTGTAAATTTTAATTATTTTTTTGAAATTTTAAATAAAATTACTTGCAAAATTATTCAAAATTCAATCCTTTCTCTTTGAGGAAGCAATAAATAAATAAATTTTTAAAGTTTAATTATTGTTAGAAATAATAAGAATTTAAAATTAAATTGCATATTTGCGATCGACACCAAAATTTATTCCTCTGACTTTTTTATATGGAATTTTATTAAAACTTTTTGATAATAATAATTCAATTATTGTTTTGAAGAAATTTATGGAAATTCTTGTGAAAATAATTGAATCTCGTGCGAATAATTTTATTAAATTTTTTTTTAAAAATAATTGAATTGTTTTGAAGAATTTTATGAAAATAATAAAATTCTTTCGAGGAATTCAATTAAAAATTGTATGCCAAATAATTGAATTCTTATAATTGAATTTTTTCGAGAAATTTCATTAAAATTATATTGAAAATAATTGAATTCCTGTGAAGAATTTTATTATTTCCTTGAAAATAATTGAATTCTTACAATTTTTTAGAACAAAATTTAATTAAAATTGTGTTGAAAATAATTCAATTCTCATAAATAATTTAATTCCTGTAGAGAATTTTATTATATGTCTGAAAATAATTGAATGCTTGCAAATTTTTTCGACGATTTTAATTAAAATTAAATTGAAAATAATTCTATTCTATCTATTTTATTAAATTTTTTTTTTAAATAATTGAAAATTAAATTTTGAATTGTTTTGAAGAATTTTTTGAAAGTTTAATTTTTTAAAATTTCATAGGTATCTAAAATTATTCAAAAATTGAAGTTGCTATTAAAAATAAATAATCTTTTAAATAATAATAATAACGAATTAAATAGCTATATAGTTTTACTAGTTATTTATATTATTTATAAAAATTAAAAGCGCAACTGTTGTAAATTTAAATTATTTTTTGAATTTTTAAATAAAATTACTTGCAAAATTATTCAAAATACAATCCTTTCTTTTTGAGGAAGCAATAAATAAATAAATACATAAATAAATAAATCTGTAAACTTCTATTGTTAGAAATAGAAATAATTTAAAATTAAATTGAATATTTGCGTTCGACAACAAAATTCAAAAGTTGCTTTCAAAATATTCTAGAAATTGAATATTTTTCCATTAATTTTTATTAAATTTCCAGCCTTTTCCCTGATCAATTTTACTTTCTCTGACTTTTCCCTGTATTCCCTGATTTCCCTGAACTGTGGCAGCCCTGAATTTTTTTTTCAAGTTATTTTCGAGTATTTCAATTGTATGATTTTCCAACTTTTACGTGACCTTTCGGTTATATTTTGAAATTATACAATTTTACATGTACGCATTATTTTTTATCCTTTTTTTGATGTTGTTCAATTTACAATTTACAGGTTTATCTTTTACTTTTTTATTCAATTCCAATATACATTATATTTCAATCCTCTCCTGTGAGCTAGACGCCTACTTTGAGTTTGTAATATATAGGGGGAGCTTATCACTTGGCACTGGACCATATCCTCATTTCTCTCTGAGGCTGTGAGGCATATTGCTATATATAATCAGATATATAAATCAGATTAATTGAAAGATGCCAAAAGCCAATCATGAGATCATCGATTTCAAATGATTTTGCGCAACTGCTGTTGTGTGTGTGTTTGTGTGTGTGTCAGTCTTTGTTTATTGCTACATGAGAGTGTGAGAGAGAGTGAGATAATTACAGTCAAGTGAACATCTCAATATTTTTCATTTCAATAATTTCCTGCTCGTCCTTAATCAATTTTTTTTTATTAGGACAATTAGTCATTTCGTGGGGGGCCTTATGCTACGAATTTAATGGTGTCGCGCCAATATTACTGATAAAACTTGGACACGCATTATTATCAATGACACGATCACGATCACCTTGAAGGGAAAAATGTCTATAGGTCATGTATTCGGGGGGATTTTGTTGTAATGGTTGTTCACGTTTTGCGGTGGCACGTTGTTTTTTCATTTTTAAATAGCCGAGAATTGTTATTAGGAGGACAAAGACGAGAAAACCCATGCAACTGCCGACAATTAAGCCAAGCCTCCGGGTGAGGATGTTTGCTAGACCGCCCCTATCGCCGAGGGAGCCCTCACCCACTATTGAATTAGGTGACTCAAGGGTCCTTACTTCGGTACAACGACTCATGGGTGATGTGACCATCACTGGCATTGCTGGACTCTCGATCACGTCGTCTTGAGAGGCGTTCCATTGCCAGGAATTAATGTCCTCGGGGATTGGTGTTCCCCAACTGCCAAGACCGAGAACACAGATCAGATAACGCGTGTCCGAAGCCAGCTTCGTCAGCCTCACTGAACGTGCCTTCGGGTCCAGTAACTTCCCTCTCACCTGTTAACCATAGAAGAGAGAGAGAGAGAGAGAACTCGTATTAGTTCAACAACACAAACCAAACAAGTTTTATGTTAAGTGAGAGGAGGATGATGAATTTACAGTTTGATGAGACGATTATCAAAAGTTCTATAGGGGTTTGTTCATCCATAAGTTTCACATTACCCCTTCGTCATCCCCCCCTCCCCACTTCGTCAGGTGTATATCTCAATTTACTAAAGTGAAATTCAAGATTCTTGAATGTTTAGAAAATAATTTATTCTAACATAATCAAAGTGAAATCATACTGAAGAGAATGTTTATTTTCATCGCAAAATTAAAATTAAAAGAACAAAATTAAAAAAGAGAATTGAAAAGAGAATTAAAAAAATATTGAATTTTATCGATGATTGTTATTAAATTAACAACGAAAATAAATATGTAAATTAATTAGAAATGACTCGCGGTTTTTCTAAGAATATCAAATTCAGACAAAAAACGAATCAAAAGTGTTGCGAATCAACGTTTCGATTAAAATAAAAAAAAAGAAATACAATAAAATAGAAAACTAAAATAGAAATAATTACAAATTAAAAATAAAATTGAATGAGAATATACATATAAAGAAATTAAATTAAATAGATCTTAGAATTGAAAAGACATAAATGTAAGTAGAAAATAGAATTCAACAGAAAGAAATAGAAATTAAAAACAGAAAAGAGAATTTAATAAAAATAAAAGGCAAATATCTATTTTTCTAAATTGAAAATATAAAATAGAATTGAACAGAAAGAAATAGAAATTAAAAACAGAAAAGAGAATTTAATAAAAATAAAAGGAAAATATCTATTTTTCTAAATTGAAAATAGAAAATATAATTGAACAGAAAGAAATAGAAATTAAAAATAAAAAAAGAGAATTTATTGAATAAACATCAATATAGAAATGGAATAAAATAGAATTAAATAGAAATAAATAAAATTAAATTGAAATAATTACAAATTGAAAATAGAATTGAATATACAGAAATAGAAAATAGAAATTGAAGGTAGAAAATAAAATTAAATAAAAATAAAGGGAAACTGAATTAAATGGAAAGTAGAATAAAAATAAATGTAAGTAGTAGATAGAATTGAATAGAAAGAAATAGAAATTAAAAACAGAAAAGAGAATTAATTGAATAAAAATGCATAGAAATTAGAAATAGAATAAAATAGAAATAAAAATAAAAAATTAAATTAAATAAGATTGATGAATTAAATTGAAAAAGAATATACAGAAATAGAAAATATAAATTGAAAGTAGAAAATAAAATTGATTAAAAGTAAATAGAAATCGAATTAAATGGAAATAAAAATTAAATCAAAATAAATGTAACTAGAAAATAGAATTGAATAGAAAGAAATAGAAATTAAAAACAGCAAAGAGAATTTAATAAAAATAAAAGAAAAATATCTATTTTCCTAAATAGAAATTAAAAATAGAAAATAGAATTTAATTAAAATATCTAAACATAGTAATAGAATTAAATAGAAATTATAAATGAAAAAACTGACTCGAATAAATATTAATGCAAATAGAAAATAGAATTGAATAAAAATAAATAAAAATAGAAATACAATTTTAAATAGAAATGAAAAATAGACTACAGTAGATATAAATCCAAATAGAAATTAGACTTGAATTAAATGCAATTAAAGAGGAATTAGAATTGACTAGAAATAAATGTAAGTAGAAAATAGAACTGAATAAAAATAAATTACAAATAATTAGAAATTTAAAATAGAATTGAAATAAATATAAATAATTAGAAATTTAAAAAAAAATTAAATAACAACGAAGAAAAGTAGAATTAAATAAAAAAAGGTGAAAATTGAAAATATACAACCTAATTATAAATAAAAGTAAATAAAATTATGAAACAGAATTGTAGATAGAAATTGAAAAAATAATTGAACAGAAATGTGAAAAATAAAATTCAATACAAATAATTGCAAATCGAATATAGAAATTCGGATTAAATAAAAATAAATAAACATAGAATAAAATGAAAATAAAAATAAAAAATAAAATTAAATACGATTGATGAATTAAATTGAATAAAAATACATAGAAATAGAATTTTAAAGTAGAAAATAAAATTGAATAAAGTGAAAATAGAAAAGAGAATTTAATTCAAATTGAATGAAAATAGATTTAAACAAAAATAAATATAAATTGAAAATAGAAAACAAAATTGAATAGAAACGATTAAAAATCGAAAATAGAATTGAATATAGATAAAAGTAGAAATATCAAATATTAAACAAAATTGAATAGAACATAAAAATTGGAAAAAGAAGATAGAATTGAATCAAAATTATTTAGTGGTATAATTGAACTGAAATAAATATAAATAATTGAAAATTTAAAAAAAAGAGAAAATAAAAATAGAATTGAATAGAAGTAAATAGAAAGGAAATTAAATAGAAGTAAATTAAACGTAGAAAATAGTGTCGAATAGAAATAAATAGAAATTAAATTAAATATAAATAAATATAAATAATTGAAAATTAAAAAAAAAAGAAAATAGAAATAGAATTTAATAGAAGTAAATGAAAAGTAGAAAATGAAGTCGAATGGAAATAAAAAATAAATAGAAATTGAATTAAATATAAATAAATAGAAATTGAATTAAATATAAATAATTGAAAATTTAAAAAAAGAAAATAGAAAGAGAATTAAATTGAAGTAAATTAAACGTAGAAAATAGTGTCGAATAAAAATAAATAGAAATGGAATTGAATAGAAATAAATGTGAATAATTGAAAGTTGAAGAAGAAAATTGAATTCAATAAAAATAAGTAGAATTAGAAAACAGAATTGAAATTGAATTAAAATAAAAAAAATAGAAAACTGAATTGAAATTGAATAAGAATAAAACAAAATATAAAACAGAATTGAAATTCGATAGAAAATAGAAATAAAAAAATATTAAACTGAAATGAAATTAACTAAAAATAAAAATATATAAAACAGAATTGAAATTAATAAAAATAAATAAAAATAAAAAAATATTAAACTGAATTGAAATTGAGTAAAAATAAAAAAAAATATAAAACAGAATTGAAATTAATAAAAAATAAATAAAAATAAAAAAATATTAAACTGAATTGAAATTGACTAAAAATAAAAAAAAATATAAAACAGAATTGAAATTAATAAAAAATAAATAAAAATAAAAAATAGAATTGAATAGAACATGAAAATATTTTTTTTAAATTCCCAATAATGACGTAAATATTAATAAAAATCGCTAATAATTTTATTTAATTATTGATGATGTGAAATACTACAGAAAAATAATTTTGAAAAATATTTACCTCGTCAACATTATCGAGTGCATGATAAGCGACTTGATATCCATGAAGGCCAGAATGATTTCGACTTTGCCAAGAGACAAGTACCGAAAAGGGTTGAATGTCCTGAATGGCAAGTTTGAGAACAAGTGGCGACGAGCAAAATGCATTTGGATCAAGGTCGAGAAACACAAGTCCACGAAGTTCTGGGGGTTGCTCGCATCTTAAATGTCCTCCTTCCATATTAGTCACTCCCACACCGTTTCTTCCACTATGACTCCGGCCCACTCCACCCACCATTTTTTGATGATCGCGCAACCATTCCCAAAGCTCTTGAGATTCACAGCCGCAGTTCAGAGGATTTTCTAATCGAAAATGGAAGACAAATTACCCTTATATAATAAAATTTATCGATATGGAGAAAATCAGGAAAAATTCTTTTTCAATTCGTTCACACTTTTTTCGGAAATTTTAAATCCATATTTTTTTTTACATAATAAAATAGTTAATTTTTTAAATTTATTTTTTATTTTTAATTCTATTTTTCACAAGCTTAACTGAGAATTTAAAAATTCTCGTCAAAATTCTAATTATCTTCATATGAATAATAAAATTATTCTACGAAATTCAATTATTTTCAAAAAACATTTAATAAAATTCTTGGCAAAATTTCAATTATTTTCAACAATTTCCCTAAATACAATATGTACTATTTTAGTAAAATATTCCAAAAGAATTCAATTATTAAAAAAGAATTTAAATAAAATTCTACGTAAACATTTAACTATTTTCATAAACAATAAAAATTTCACAGGAATTCAATTATTTATAAATTTTTTTTTAATTTCTTCGTAATTACTCCATTACTTTCATAAATAATAAATAACAAAAATCTTGATAGAAAAAAAAATTCTTCAGAAAAAATCAATTATTATTATCCTAGAGATAATAAAGTTCTTCGCAAAAATTCAATTATTTTCAAAAATAACAAAATTTTTAGCAGAAATTCAATTATTTTCAAAAATTAGCATAAAATTCTTCGCAAAAATTCTATTATTTTTTCCAAACTTTTAATAAAGTTCTTGACAAGAATTCAATAATTATCTTAATAAATAAAAGAATTATTCGTAAAAATTCAATTATTTCCATAAAGAACAAAATTTTTAGAAGAAATTAAATTATTTAAAAATTTTTTTACAAAATTTTTTGAAGAAATTCAATTATTTTTAAAAATTATAATACAATTCTTGTCAAGAATTTAATTATCATTATAAATGTCAAAATTATTCTCAGAAATTTAATTATTTTCAAAAATAAAATTTTAAAAATATTCAATTATTTTCAAACACTTTATAAACTTCTTCGCAGAAATTCAATTATTTTCTAAACTTTTCATACTTTTTTTCGCAGATATTCAATTATTATTAACAAATGTGATACGATCCTTGGCACGGATTCAATTATCATTGTAAATAACAAAATTCTTCGCAGAAATTCAATTATTTCCAAAAATAACAAAATTTTGTAGCAGGAATTCAATTATTTTCAAAAATTTCATAAAATTCTTTGTAGAAATTAAATTATTTTCAAAACTTTCAAATAAAGTTGTTGGAAAGTATTCAATTATCTTTTTGTAAATAACAAAATTCTTTGTATGAATTTAATTATTTTCATAAAAAACAAAATTCATAGTAGGAATTTAATTATTTAAAAAAATTTCATAAAATTTTTCACAATATTAAAAGCATAATGGCGTGAAATTTTAGCAATAATTGAATTTTGAAAAGGTTGTAAATTAAAATTTTTTGAAAATTTGAATTTTTCATACTTTTTTACTAAAAATGCTATGGATTTAATTTTTTTTTTAAAGTTCAATTGAATTTTTTATTTTCCACATTTAATTGAAGAATTTACGAATAATCGAAATTTTCCGTAAAATTGTATTGTAAAGAAATGGATTTGAAAATAACTTTTTTAAGTAAGAAAATAAAATTATTTGAAATATAATATTTATTTTAATGAAAATTGAGAAAATTTGCTATTTTTTCAATTTTTTAAAATTATTTTTGGGAATTGAACAATTTTCAAAAAATTCTAATAACGATTTTTTAAAAACCTCATTTTTGCAGAATTTGTAAATAAAATTTTTCAAATTTAATTAATTTTTGTTTAATAATTATTTGAATACTAATTGTTATTTTATTTGTCCAGAAGAAATTAAAATTTCAAAATATACTTTTATTGTAAAATCTTTTGAAATTTAATTATTTCTAAAAGTTAGAACTGAAATTCTTTTTCTAATCAATTCTTATCAAAAGAGTAGTACGGAAATGCAATTATTTACAAGTGATAAAGTAATTGATTGCAAAATTTCTCCTGAAAAACAAATTGTAAATAAATTATAAAATACCAAGAAAACAAACTTTTTAATTAAAGAAAAATAATTTTCTTTTTAAAAATTGTTGAAATTTTTGAAAGTTCTTGAAGTGCAATTAAAGTTAAAAATTATCCATAATTAAGTACAAAAAAAATATTAAAGTAAAATATGAATATAAATAAAAAATTCAAAAATTAGTTTCATCATATACTTGAAAAGATATATAAACGCGCAAAACTTTATATAAGTGAAAAAAAAGTTTACACTTAATACACTTTGAGTGAATATAAGTTATTAAAAGTTTCTAATTTTTTTTTCGCTCCTCTTTTTTTTTTACTTGAAAAGGAGAGGAGAACGGCACTCAAGAAGTGAAAGCGATTAGTTTTTTAACCCCGTGGAAAAGTTGAAAATGAATTTTCTGCAAATTGTACTGCAATTTAGTTGTTTCGTAATTATTGCCCTTTGCGGACAAAAATAACTATTTGAACTCGTTATCCTAAATTACTTTTTATAAGAGAGATTCTTTTCAATTTCCCACCCAACTTTTTTTTTTTCGTTTCTGTTAGTTTTAATTATGTTCCCGAATAAATAAACTTAATTAATAATGCAGATTAAAAATACAATGCGAAGAAGAATTCTATTTTCTTTTTGCTTCTTTATATGAGGAAAGAGAAGAGAATGATTATTTCACATTTATTTTTCTCACTAATTTTCAATTTACCTAATTCCAAATGACGGAATAAAAAAATAAAAAAAAATTGCTTAAATTGTTATTACTTTAGGGAAATTATCAATTTAATTTTTAATTAGGTTCTTAGTGAAGGTGAATTAATTTTTTTGGGAATGCTTTTCATAAATTAGGTGATAATTAAATTGTGTATAGTTTTGTTTTGTTTTCAGAATCTTATTGAAGTGGAATTATTTCTAATTTATCCCCAAAGACTAGGAGTAAAGTAATAGATAAAATTATTTAAAGAAAACGATATCCACTGATTCGAGAAATAAATGTAAAATTATAAAAAGAAACCAAATTCCACTTTACCCCAAAATCTAGAGGTAAATATTGTAAATATCTAGAGAGGTAAAATTTTACTAAATTGAAGTAAAATTGATTTTCCTTTTATAATTTTACAATTAAACAATTCACCTTTTTAGAAATTGGTGACGAATTTCAAATTTCCATTTTACCCCTACTTATAGATGTAAACTACCCTGTAAAATTTTAAAAAGAAAACAAATTTTACTTTCCCTAAATCTAGAGGTAAATTCCTAATTAGAATTACAAAAATATAAAATAAAATTCTTTTTGAAATTTTACCTAGTATTTTACTGACAGTGTTTTTAGGGGTAAATTGGAACTCATTTAATTTTCATAATTTTACCTAGTAATTTAATTCTAGAGTGGGAGTAAATATGTATTTATTATTTTAATTTTATTTAATAAATGTGCCTCTAAATTTTGGGTTAAAGTAGAAAGTAAATTAAAAGTAAATTAGAATTTTTCTTCAATAATTTTACCTAGTATTTATTTCTAGAGTGGGAGGTAAATGTGAATTTATTCCTGTAATGTACCATTAAATTTAGGGGTAAAGTGGAACGCGTTTCCTTTATGTAATTTTACCTAGTGTTTTACTTCTATTTTTGGGGGTAAATTTCTAATTTATTTTACATTCATAATTTTACCTAGTATTATATTTCTAGAGTGGGGATAAATATGAATTTGTGTAACTTTAAATTGTAATGTACCTCTAAATTTTAGAGGTAAATTAAAATCCGTTTTTTTATAATTTTACCCAGTATTTTACTACTATTTTCGACGGTAAATTGGTACTAATTTACTTTTTATAATTTTAACTGGTGTTTTTTACCTTTACAGTAGAGAGTAAATTGGAATTTATGTTTATAATTTTAACTAGTAATTTACCTCTAGATTTTGGGGTAAAGTGAAATTTGTTTTCTTCTTATAATTTTACCTAGAATTATTTTTTCTTCAATTAGTTTGTGTATAAATAAATAAATAAACTAGTAGGGGTATATTATAATTTTCGTTTAGACCTCGAGGTTAATGTGGAGTTTGTTTTCTTATTTTAATTTTACCAGGTTTAAAAATAAAAAATTTTACCCTAAATTTAATTTAAATTTTACTCTAAAAACTAGGGGTAAATTACCCTTAGTTTTTAGGGTTAAAATTGTAATTCCATTTACATTGTTGTATATATTTACTTTTTTCTCTTGTAAAAGATTTTTAGGAAAAGTAAGAAAACTTAAATGTAAAGTAGTGAAAGTAAAAAAGAATTTAAGGGCTAAATTGTTACTTTCAGAAGAAAATTTTTTTTGTCTTGGAAAAGATTTTTAGGAAAAGTAAAAAAAGTTAAGAAATGTAAAGTTGTGAATGTAAAAAAAAATTAGAAAACAAATTGTAACTTTAAGGAAAAATTTTTTTTTGTTTTGGAAAAGGGTTTTAGAAAAAAAAATTAAATTAGGGGTAAAACTGTAAAATAGTGGGAGTGAAAATGAAATAAAGGGGTAAATTGTAACTTTTAGGAGCAAAGTAGTTTTTGTTTTGAAAAAAAATTTTAGGAAATGTTAAAAATGATCTTAAAAGATGTAAAGTAGTGAATGTAAAAAAAGATTAAGGGTAAATTGTAACTATCAGGGTTAAAATTTATTTAATTTTGAAAAGACTTTTTCAAAATGAAAAAAAAACTTAAAATAGGGGTAAAATTGTAAAATAGTGAAGGTAAAAATGAAAAAAAACTTTACCTCTTAATTAAGAGGTAAAGTTTTTTTTTGACTTGGAAAAGACTTCTAGAGAGTTTAAAAAAAATCTTGAATGTAGGATAAAATAATAAAATAGTGAATTTGAATGAAAAATTAAGGGATAAATTGCAACTTTTAGGGTCAAAAAATATCTTTTCCTTAAAAATATCTTTTAGTAAATGAAAAAAAAAAATTTTAAAAGTGAGGTAAAATTTTTAAATAGTGAAAGTAAATAAGAAACTAAGAGAAAAATTGTAACTTTTAGGGGCAAAGTAGTTTTTTAATTTAAATAAAATTTTTAGGAAATGTAAAAAAATTTTAAAAAGGGTAGAATTATAAAATAGTGAAAGTAAAGAAGAAATTAAGGGGTAATTTGTAACTTTCAAGGGTAAAAGTTTTTTTTATTTGGAAAATACTTTTATGTAAAGAAAATCTTGAAAAAGAGGTAAAATAATAAAATAGTGAAAGTGTATGAGAAATTAAGAGATAAATTATAACTTTTAAGGCAAAAAATTTTTTTTTCTTGGATAATACTATTAGGAAATTTAAAAAAAAAAAATTAAAAAGGGGTAAAATTGTAAAGTAGTGAAACTACAAAAGAAACTAAGAGAAAAATTGTAATTTTGAGGGGCAAAGTCGTTTTTTGATTTGAATAAAAATTACAAGAAATGTAAAAAAACATAAGGGAGGGGTAAAAAATTATAAAATAGTGAAAGTAAAAAAGACATTAAGGGGTAAATTATAACTATTAGGGGCAAAGTTTTTTTTGTTTTGAAAAATAATTTTTCGTAAAAAAAATTTTGAAAGAGGGGTAAAATAATAAAATACAAAATAGTGAAGGTGATTAAGAAATTAAGGGGTAAATTGTAACTTTTAGGGGTAAACATTCTTTTTTTTTGGGGAAAAAATTTAGGAAATGTAAAAAAATCTTAGAAGAGGGGTAAAATTGTAAAGTAGAGAAAGTAAAAAAGAAATTGAGGGGTAATTTGTATCTTTTAGGGGAAAAGTTGTTTTTATTTTGAAAAAGACTTTTAAGAAAAGTAATAAAAAGACTGAAAAAATTTACATCACTTAAGTCTTTTTCTTATTTTTCCAAAGAAAATAAAAAAGAAACTAAGTGGTAATTGTAACTTTCAGGGGTAAAGTAAACCAACAGTTTTAAAAAGTACAAATCAGTCAAAAAAAAAAACTAATCACTAAATGTAAATTTTACATTTCTTTGTACATTATTATTTATGTTCACATTGTTTTTTTTTTGTCTTTAAGATAATTTTTAATAAAAGACCAAAAAAAGAACCAAGAGCGCAAGAAAAAGAAGAAGAAACACAAAGAACTAATATGAAGAAAACATTACCTTCAGCTCGAAGACTGCGAATCTGTGTTTCTAAAGGTCGAAAGGCGTTCAGTGGTAGATTTTCAAGATAATTCCTACTGAGATCGAGTAGACGAAGTTTCTTCAAAGGCCTGAACGCCTCACTGGATATCGCACTGATCCAATTCCCATAGAGGTGCAACTCCAAAAGGCTGATTAAATTCTTGAACGTGATTTTTTCAACATTACTAATTTGATTATACGAGAGATCGAGAATTTGTAGTGATTTCAAATCAGATGGAAATTCCTCAACTTCCTTAAGTCGATTGTGCGTTAAATTTAAAATACGTAAATGCTCCATACCCTGTAGACGTTCCTTGGGCAAATTCTCCAAACTATTCATACCCAAATGTAATGTCAATAGATTCGTAAGATTTTTAAATGCCCCCGGCGACACACGCAATATACTATTTTGCTTTAAATACAAATGAATCAATGCTGGAAATGATTCAAAGTCCTGCGATGTAACGATACTTAAATTAGTGCACGATATGTGAATCTCCTGTAATAGTGGATAAGACGCCTCCAATGGTAAATCATGAATGCGATTTAATGGATTTCTCGTTAAATTCAACCAGCCGAGACTCGGTAAATTTTGTCCCGATAATGCAACAGCTGGTATACGGCGAAATTTATTTTCCGATAAATCAACGCGTCTCAATAAATTTGATTGGGAGAAAAAATTTGCTGGCAGGGCGTTCATATTATTATTGCTGAGATCAACGGATAGTAGGCGTGATAAATTGACCATTGCAAAGCCGGACATTGTTTCAATTTTATTGTGACTTAGATCTAATTCACGGAGGTATTGTAGACGAGTGAAACTTGATAGGTCTACGGTTATTATTTGATTGTGGGATAGTGTGAGTATTTCGAGATTAACTGCATCGGAGAGGGCCGAGGTTGGTATTGATGTAAATCGATTTTCGTCGAGACGTATTTCGCGTAGTGATTGAAGTCCTTTGAAAATTTGCGGTGGTAGTGTACGCAATAGATTTCGTGTCAAATGCAGTCGGGCGAGATTTCGATTTAAAATGAAGATTGTCTCGGGCATTTGGGTTATTTGGGCGTTGTCGAAGAAGAGATCTTGTAATGATGAGAGACCATTGAGACTGTTGTCTTGAATTTGGCTGAAATTGTTGCCGGAAGCGGCGAGTATTTGTAGTTTTGGTATTTGGAGGCGTAGTAGAGCTGAGGCTGTGAGGAGATTATCCTCGAGGCGGAGTTCATTGAGATTGGAGAGATCGCGAAATGCGCGACTCTCGATTGTCATTATTGATGAGTTGCGGAGATTTAGGGTTTTAATCGGTAAATGGGACTGGAAAATTTCGTCTTCGAGAACTGTTATTTGATTATTGGCGAGGTCGAGGATTTTTAGTTTCTTGAGATTTGTGAGTGCGTAGGAGTCGATTTTCTTGAGACCATTGTCCTGGAGGTAAAGTTCCTCGAGTTCGTGGAGTTCGGAGAACATTTTACCGGTGATGCGGGATAGTTTGTTGATGCTGAGCTCGAGTACTTTGAGGGCACGCATGGGTTGAAAGGCTGCGTCCTCGATAGTTGATATTGAATTATTGGTGAGATATAAACGTTCAACGAGGAGAAGATCACGAAATACGGGCGCTTGTAAATGGGTCAATTTATTGTGACCCAACCACATTATTTGTACAGATCCTTGACCCTTCAGTGAATCGTTGTGCAGTGTTTCGAGACCATTGCTGTCGAGTTGAATTGAGAGGAGGGAACTGAGACCGGTTGATTCGGATTTTTTGAATTGGAACACATCGCCTAGGAGTGAGAGTTGATTACCTTGGAGATTCACGTGTTGAAGATTCTTGAGTGAATTGAATGCACCGTCTTCTATTCGGCGAATTGCATTCTTTTGGAGATGTAGCTCGAGAAGTGCTGGCAATGAGGAGAAGACGCCTCTTTTTATTTCCGTTATTTGATTCTCTTGAATGCGTAGTTCGCGTAGTTGATGTAATTTGGTGAATGTACCGGCTTGAAGTTCGCGAATTTTATTCCCATCGAGAAATAGGGAGGAGAGATTTTGACATTGGGAGAAAAATTCCTTGGGGACCTTCTCAATGTAGTTGTTGCTCAAATGTAATTGAGTCAATTCGGTTAGGCCCGACAAGCCTCTGCCGTCGATTCGACGAATTGCATTCTGCTGAAGGTAGACAACCTCCAATGCAATGCTGCCAGTAAAAGCCTCGCCGGGTATTTCGAGAATATTATTTTCCGCTAAATATAATTCGTGGAGTTCGGGTAGTTTTGCGAAAACACCACCAATGTAGTGAATGTGATTGTGACTCAATTCGATTGTCCTCAAACGGGCGTTGTTTCTAAACGAAGAAACGTCCAGGAAGACAATTTTGTTATGACTCAAGTCTATTGATTCCAAATCATTGAGGGAAATGAATGCATCCTTGTCCACAGTTTCGATCGAATTATAATAGAGTGACAGTGTCTGCAACAATGGACACGAGCGAAAGCAGTCTTGCGGTAATTTTTCAAAATCATTACTACTCAAATCCAAAATCAATAGCGACTCCAATATTGAATGTCCATCGTTGGGAAATTCGGAAATTTCATTCCACGCCAAGCGGAGGGAATCGAGATTTTTTAATTTTCTAAATGGCGCTATGGGAAAGAGTTTCAATTTATTTTCGGCCATATCAAGTTCACTGAGACTATCCTCGAGGCCCTCGAAAGCGTATTCAGAGATTTTCGATATCTGATTGCCTTTGAGTGTCAATTTTATCAGTTTCAATCCATAGAAGCAGTAAGAGGATAGATCCTGGATCAGGTTCGCCTCGAGGTCCAGTGCAACGAGTTTACGAAGATTAGCTAAAGCTTTCTGTGGCACGTGCGGGAGACGGCCGGCGACTAATCCCAAAGATTCGAGGCTATCTTTCAAGTTTAGAAACGCGGTTTCACCCACGTCCCGCAGGGAGGAATGAGATATCTCCAGGTGCCTGATTTGTGAGCCAGATGGAAACGAACCCTCTTTTAATTTCTCAATGGCTTTGTCCAACTCATAGACCCTTAATGATTGAAGTATCACCTCGTCCCCTGTAACAAGAGATATCCATTTTTCTCCTTTTTTATTGACATGGGTTCGGAATAATCCGACTTTGAGAAAATAAATTTTGTGAATCTTGACAAAAAGTGGGGACATTATAATTTTATCTGTGAAATCGAATAGAAATTTATTTTTATTATCGTGAAGGGTAGAGTTTCACTTTTTTATTTTTTTGACAGCTTGTAACTGTTTTCGAAAAAGTAGTAAGAATTATTTAAAGTCTTACCAAAAATGACTTTTACTACTGATTCTGAAATCCTTTGAATTCTTCGATAATAATAAGTAAAACATATGTTTTACTAATTATTATCGAAGAATTCAAAGGATTTCAGAATCCTTCAAAAAATCGAAATCGAAAAAAAAACTTTCACGAATTAAATTTTGAGAATGAGAAATTACTTTTAAAAGAAAAGAACAAAATCTTACCTGCATTGGCTACAATTTTCTGTAAGGTGGATCTAATTGTTTCCTCGGTGGCTCCTGCGCACTCGAGGAAGAGTCCATTCTCGAAATTGTAGCAAGGACATCCAGGAATTGTTTCGGAAGGAGGACATTCCGATGATTGACTGTCAACTATTGTCAAGAGGGAAGGAACACATATGATGAGTATCAGTGATCTGATGCTCCATCTAATTGAAGAGCACAATTGTCCTCTCGACTGTTGAAAATTTCGCATCATCGTAACATCACATTTTCTCTGAAAAATAAAAATAAAACATTTCATTAGTTATTATATTTCTTTAGATTTAGTACTATTTTTCTTAAATTTAGTATAAAATTTTTCTAAATTTAGTATTATTTTTCATAAATTCGTAACTTGGTACCATTTTCTTTATAAATTATTTTTTTTCATTTAGCATAATTTCCTATTTTTAAAACCATTTTTTTTTGTTTAAAAATATTTGTATTCTTCTAATACAATTTTTTATATATAAATTTTTATATATAAATTTTTATATTTGATAATATTTTTTTGTTTTTAAAAACTATTTTTCTTACTTCATATTATTTTTCTTTATATAATACTTGTTTTCTGCTTGTAATATACAAATTGTCTTTTTTTAATACCATTATTTTTCTTTTACTTAGTAGTGTAGTTTTCCGTATTTCATTTTATTTTTCTCTATTCAATATTAAACGAATATTTCTCTTCTATTAAATATTTAATTTTTTGTACTTATGGCACGAAAGGGAATTTATTTTATAACCCATTTATTTCTGTAAATAATTAAAAAGATATTTTTCAAAATAGAAGAATTCTTGTTTTTAAAACTATTTTTTATTTAATATTTTTTTCATCCAACATTGTTTTCCAATGTTTGCATTTTTAATTCATCAAATTTTAATTTTATTCCTATTTTCTTTTTTGAACTGTTTTTCTATCTTAATATGAGATATTAAACAGCTTTGTAGAGGAAATATGTGCTTTTAAAAACGACAAAAAAAAACAGAATTACTTTTTATTTGAACGAAAAAATGAAAATGTGGAACACATAATGCTCATAAAGATAAAAGTACTGAAAGTATAAAAGCAAAAAAAAAAAAAAATAAACAAACAGACAAAACCAGTAATTTATATCTCTTTTGTTTGCTCTAAATATTTTATTCTTATAAGAAGATTTAATTTTTTATTCTCCTCATCCAAGAAACAAACATTTTTATCTTTAAAGAGTTTTAAATTATTTTTGCTCTCTAGTTTGCTTTCTGTTTTGTTTTTTATTTTGCTTTCTATTTTATTTCTATTTTGTTTTTCTATTTTTTTTTTTTTTTTGAAACTCTGTTTTATTGATCAATTGCAAATCGACCGCTAAATACATGATGATGGACGTAAAACTAGATGCGTCTAAATTTTCCCCGTCTAGGAAAATAAAGTAAACTTTTATCGCGCTACGAGAGTAGTGACCTGCTTTTTATCAATTCCACACATTCGCAGATAAATGTTTTAGTTGTGTATTCTTTTTTTTTTGCCCATTGGTCTGGGATAAATAATTTTTTTTTTAAATAGACAGAAATCCATTTAAAAAAGAGGAAATGTGATTTAATTCTAATGGATAATTTTTGTTTTGGTTTTGAAAAATTTTATGCTTCTGGTATATAAGAGTCTTTTCATGGAGATGTTTTCTTTTGTGAATCTGTTTGACTCTCTCAAAGGTATTGAAAAATTGTATTAAAATAGTTTTTAGCTCATTTTTCTCATGAAAAAGAATTTGATATGCTTCAATGAATTTCTATTAAGAGTTTAGTTGCCTCAACAGGTTTCAAAGAAATTTACCTTTTTTGTAGAATTCGCAAACAATGAGATTGTATAAGAAAAAAATTGTTTTGAAAAACTGGAGATATTTATATCTAAAGATATTTTATTATCAGACGAAATTTCATAATTTTAGTCATTTCGTTTTTTTATTTTTTTTTGTTTCTCCAATTTTTTTCGTTTATGATTCGCTTTGTGTCGTGTTTCACTTCTTAAACGATCGTTAAAAAATAGAAAGGCATTTTCAAAGAGGGTATTTTTATAAATTTTCCTTTTTTCTTTTTTACTTTTTCATTTTTTTCGCTTTTCTTTGGTTTTTATTTCTTTTCATTTCTTTTTCTTTCCTTTCATTTTTTTTCTTTTTTTTCTTCTTTTTAGTTTTTCGTTTCGCTTCCATTTCTTTTAATTTCTTTTATTAATTGTAAAACTTGAAGATTAAATTAAATGTCATTGCGAGAGAGAGAGAGAGAGACATTAGGAAAAATTCTTTTTTTTGTGTCTCGTTTTTCTTGGAATTCTTTGAGATCTGCGCTTTCTGCAGAATCCCATTAGATGTATATGAATGTAACCAAGGCAACTAGTTTCATGTTGTGGCCCCCGATGCGTGTATGTTACGTTAAATAAGAAAAGACAAGTAGTCGGAGAAAGAAATGATTTCCGCGAAAGCGCAGAAAAAAGAATATATATCCGCTCGTACTTGTATTTAAATGAAACTTTATATACAAAGTTTATGTCTGAGACTGAAATGCAGATGTGTCTTGACTGATTCATAAAGATTTTTAAGAAAAAAAGAAAAAGAAAAATCCGCATTCATTCTTTTAAAAACAATGAGAAAATATTTACCGTAATACACATTAGGAAATATTCTTCTTTAAATTAATATGCAGAACAAGTTTTTTAAAAATAAAATAATTTTTAATGACTTCCATGAGAAGGAAATGAAAGAAAATTTTTATTTTGAAGTGGAGGAAAAATTAAATTTATCCTAGAATTTAATAATCTTTCAAATAAATGGAATTTCTTTTTTCGCAAACTTATTTTTCATATTTTTCCCTTTCATTTTATTAGAAAAAATCGTTGCAAATTGGAAAATTTTTGAAAATTGCTTTTTACTTTTTTGAAGGTTTGCAAATTTTTTTTATTTAAAATGTCTGACTGAAATTGACTATATTACTACTTAAATTCAGTTAAAGTAAAATTTAATTTTTAACTAAATCTAAATTTTACCAAAAATTGTTTTCACTATTCAAATTTTGAAAATATTTTCTTGTATCTTTAACTATAATTCCTATTCTAAACAATAATTCTAAATAATTTCGACGATAATAAAATTGTCGAAAATTTAATTATTCAAATGCAAGAGGAAATTCAATTATTTACAAAAATTGGAAACGAGACTCTTCAAAATTTCAATTACTTTTGGAATTTTTAATTCAAATTAGTCCAGTAATTCATTTCCATCAATTTTGTAATAGTTTTCAAAGAATTAAATTATTTAAATTTTAAAATAATTTCATAAATTTCTTATTTAAAATGAATATTAAGTTCGAATTTTTAGAGACATTATTGAATAATAATTATGAAAATAAGGAAAATTATGAAATTAATAGAAAAATATGAAAAAAAACAAAAGCAAGATTGTAAACGAATTATATACACACCAGGAGTATGGAATAAGCGGAAAAAAAAATTCCCGAGAAATTTGTCCCCAAGGGGAAACAATGAGAGTTGTTTTTTTTTATTTTCTAGTATTGTGTAGTTATGGTAGTCACGCTATTCGCTATACTATAAAGTGAGGGGGTTAAAGTAGGTGCACGACAATTTTGTACTTGAACTAGGAAAAAAGTAGTGCGAGACCTGACTTCATTACGAGCAAATCTACAATGAGAAATTTTTTTTTACGTTTTTACTTTTAGTTTCCTTAAAGCCGTTGGGAAAAATTCATTTTTTTCTCAAATGCCGCATCGAATTTTTTTTAACTTTAAACATATTTAAAATGAATGAAAAGAAATTTTTCTTTGATAAATTTAAAATTATATAAATATTTTTATAAATTATATATAATATATTATATAATAAATATTCTAAAAAGATATAATTTCTTTTTGAATTCTTTTCTTGATTGCCCTATAAACTTTGAAATCAACTCGAATCTTATTACAATATTTTAAATTTTTTCTACTTCTGACAATAATTGAACAAGATATGAAGTTGAAATGATTTTAAATGATTTAATTCTTCAAGAACTGTAAAAAATATTGTATAAAATTATTATAAATTTAATTAACAAATAATTTTACTTACAAGTTTTTAAAAATTTTAAATAAATTTTCTTTTTTTTTAAATTTAGAAAATATGTGTCTAGAATTTTTTTAAATAATTTAATTCCAAAGGTATTGATTTGAAATTTTTATAAACTTAAATTTTGAATAATTTTATAATAAAAGTTTCTAATGAACTTAGTTTTTTAAATTTTTATTTAAAATTTTAAATACCAAATTTTTTAAACAAAAATTGAATTTTTAAATTAATTTTTCAGTGGAAAATTTTCGAATAATTGACATTTTGTAAAATTGAATTGTAATTAACTTGTTTTGAATTTTCCTTCGCCATGTAAACAATAAATTCACACTGAATTTTATAAAACATTACCTTAATTTTTTCTTATTTCCGTAAATAATTAAATTTTATCTTTAATTACTAAGTTTTGAAATAAATTTAAGGAGTTAATAAACATTATTTAACTAGAAAAAGATTTTACTTGAAATGAGTTGAAATTTTCTTTTTTTTAAGAGCAAATTTTTCAAATTATTTAGTGAAACATTTTTTTCTGCATAGTACAAATTCTCTAGGAGTCAGATGATTAAGATTAAAAGACGAGAGACGGATATATATGTATATGTCTCTGTATAAAAGAAGGGTGGAAAGTGAAAATTTTTTTTTCCCTCTCTTTTATTGCGAAAAAGAAATTTGTTGACACTTGGAAAGCAAATAAAAGACGAACGCCGTTTTTCGCAGGAAATGAAACCTTTGCCTATCGTTTTCTTATTTGTGTTGCAGGAAATGTTCAATTTAGAAAGAGATTTATGATAAGAAAAATGTAATTTTATGTTTTTGTCTATTTTTAAATTAACTTTTCTTTATACTTATACTCACTCTCACTCTCTCTCTCTCTCTCTTACAGTTTTCCTACTGGCAAAATAATAACGAAATTGCTCCAAAGCTTTGATGCATTTAATGTAAGAAAGTTTTTGCTCGACAAACTTCTTATGCAATTAGTGCAGAATGCTTTTAATTTACAGAAGTATAAATTAAAGAAACTCATCAGCAACGGGATGAATTATATATATATAATAATATAAAAGGCAAATAAAATGAAAAAAACCGGTTTTTAAAATAATAAAAAATAGTTTAAAAAAATGAGTTTTTTTAATTATGAATTAACT